TGGTGATACGCTGTAAGTTTGATTTGGTGTGTTTTGTTTTACGGCCTATCAACCTCAATGGGTTATTTCATGCAGAAATATTTTTATTGCTGGTAATTTTTTTTCCTTCAAAAATATACCACTGGTAATATTTATTCTCTTAAAAAATGTATTGCTGGTAATATTGCTGGTAATAAAACTTATTTTTACACTTTCATAGCGTTTTGACCCCAGTTTGGGGATTAACTATTTGCCCATAGCTGGGACCCTAACAGGTCACTACCCCAAAAGACCTGGGAGCAGTTTTGAGTTGGTTCCATGCACCTGAAAACCTTCTGATCAGAGGCCTTGCTGCTGGATGTAGTTTATCGTCATACCCAGGACAGGATACACCATAAGAACCTGGATGTAAATTTACTGTGACTGAATTAACAATTAAATCAATTTCTAGACATTTTCGTCTTAGTGAATTATTTTATTAATTAGTATTATTTTTTATTAATTAATTATTTTATTAACTAGTATTATTTTTATTATAATTATTTTCTTTGAAGCTATATGGAGCAATTCATGCAGTTATAAACTCTAAAAACTTTAGACAAAAATCAGAATGAGCTTTTCTCAGAATCAATAACATGTCTTTTAGTCTTCAGTGGCACTCTGATGTAAGAGAATTGAAAACTGGTCAAACTTTGATATCTGTCTATATTTCTGAGATGAGGTATATATTTTTACAGTATTCTTTCTTTGTCCCCATCTTTTTAATTTAATATGGCCCCTTCAAGGTTTATATTTCTGACATGAATTGAATTACATTATTCAAATTTTTTTCATCTTTTTGCCAGAAAGTCCCGGAATAATGATATGTACATTGTTGATATATATTTTTTATATATCAGAATAGTATTGATGTTAATGAGGAAATTTTGATAGATAAAACCAAGAAAATAATCATTTAAAAAATTAAAAAGTTTATCAGACTGGGTTTTTTGACTGAAATTGTTTTTAAAACAAATTTTTAAGACAATCCCATTTTTTTGTTTTTTGCAAAGGATTTTTTTTTTCTTTTTATTTAACTGAGATGTGTCAGTGATTAATCTTTAAAATGTAAAATTTGCTATCATGAATGAAAGAACTCATCAATGACACCCACATTAATTTTTTTTTCTATTATTTGGTCTGTGTTTTTGTTTAAGCCCCAAGCAAGACTTGAACATATCTTTTCAATGGTTCATGTTCATTTTTTGGGGGTTGATAATTAGGCAGGGGTAATTTTAAAACCTCCCCTGCTGGAAAAGGAAGTAGATTTTTCCTGAGGGGATACAGCACAGGAATCCTTCAAAAATGAGAAAAATAGCAGGATAGACCGGGTTCTATAGTAATGGCAACTGGTCTCTTGAAATGGAAACCTAAAAAAAATCTGTATTGCAGTCAGGTATCAAAGATACATGATAATAAACGTCTGGCACATGACTTAACTGATGCCTTTCCAGTCGAATACATTACATTCATTTACGCACTAATAACCTTGGGAAAGGGAATTAACTATTTGCCCCCCAGCTATGGACCCTAAATAGCAGGACAGACCAGCCCCATGGTCACTGGTCTACCCAGAAAGAAATGGCAACCTATTGGGAAAATAATCACCTCGTCAGTCAATTGAAGATATATGATTCCATGCACACATGACAATAACCTCTATGGGTAAATCAGGACAGGCCTTGCCTTGATGGATGGTCTACTACAGAAATTTATCACAACTTACCTTCAGTATCATATTTCTGAGATGAGGTATTATGTACCATTTACATTATTCGACTATTGTCCTGGATATTTAAAATTTTCGCCCTTCAGTATCTGTCTATATTTCTGAAATGAGGTATTATTAAATTTAATTTTCGGACTATTGACATTACCATATTTATTACAAGGTTTCGGCCCTTCAGTATCTGGTCTATATTTCTGAGATGAGGTATTATGTATTTTACATTATTCGACTATTGTCCTATTTTGTCACCATTTTTTATTAAATGGTTCAAGCGCTCAGTTCTGTCTGGTTTGAGATTTCTTATGTACATATTTTTATTCGACTATTGTCCTCATCTTTGTTACCAATTTATTACAACGTTATTCAAATCTCTATAAAGATGAGGTTTATGTACAAAAATTCGACTATTGTCCTTTTTGTCAGAACCAATGGTTCGGCGCGCCTAGCATCTGTCTTTTATTATGTCTTTTACATTATTCACTATTGTGATTTTGTTACCATATTTATTACAACGAGTATCTGTCATATTTAGATGAGGTATTAAACTATTTACAATTCTTTTGATATCTGTCTATATTTCTGAGATGAGGTATTATGTACACTATTTACATTATTCGACTATTGTCCTCATCTTTGTTACCATATTTATTACAACGTTTCGCCCTTCAGTATCTGTCTGTATTTCTGAGATGAGGTATTATTTATTTACATTATTCGGACTATTGTCCTCATCTTTGTCACCATATTTATTACAATGGTTCTGTCTATTTGAGCGCTTCAGTATCTGTCTATATTTCTGAGATGAGGTATTATGTACACTATTTACATTATTCGGACTATTGTCCTCATCTTTGTCACCATATTTATTACAATGGTTGTATCTGTCTGTATTTCTGAGATGAGGTATTATGTACACTATTTACATTATTATTCGACTATTGTCCTCATCTTTGTATATTTATCACAACGTCTAGTATTTCTATATTTCTGAGATGAGGTATTATGTACACTATTTACATTATTCGACTATTGTCCTCATCTTTGTCGCCATATTTATTACAATGTTTCGCCCCTTCAGTATCTGTCTATATTTCTGAAATGAGGTATTATGTACACTATTTACATTATTCGGACTATTGTCCTCATCTTTGTTACCATTTTATTACAACGTTTCGCCTTCAGTATCTGTCTATATTTCTGAGATGAGGTATTATGTATATTTACATTATTCGACTATTGTCCTCATCTTTGTCACCATTTTATTACAATGGTTCGGGTGCCTGGTATTTTGAGGTATTATTATACACATTTACATTATTCGGACTATTGTCCTCATATTTCACCATATTTATTACAATGTTTCGCCCTTCAGTATCTGTCTATATTTCTGAGATGAGGTATTATGTACACTATTTACATTATTCAGACTATTTTCCTCATTTTGTTACCATATTTATTACAATGTTTCGCCCTTCAGTATCTGTCTATATTTTTGAGATGAGGTATTATGTACACTCTTTTTACATTATTTCGGCTATTGTCCTCATCTTTGTCGGCATATTTATTACAATGTTTCGCCCTTCAGTATCTGTCTATATTTCTGAGATGAGGTATTATGTACACTATTTACATTATTCAGACTATTTTCCTCATCTTTGTCGCCATATTTTATTACAATGTTTCTGCCCTTTCAGTATCTGTCTATATTTCTGAGATGAGGTATTATGTACACTATTTACATTATTCAGACTATTTTCCTCATCTTTGTCGCCATATTTATTACAATGTTTCGGCCCTTCAGTATCTGTCTATATTTCTGAGATGAGGTATTATGGACACTATTTACATAATTCAGACTATTTTCCTCATCTTTGTTACCATATTTATTACAATGTTTCGGCCCTTCAGTATCTGTCTATATTTCTGAGATGAGGTATTATGTACACTATTTACATTATTCAGACTATTGTTCTCATCTTTCTTGCTATATTTATCACAATGTTTCGGCTGGTGGTGGCTGGAATGTCGAACTGAACCCTTTATTTCGCTTGCTGGGGTAGCTAGTTCCACGTGCCATGTCTAATGGATGTCAGTTATCAGGTATCTCCAGTTAATTCACCTCTACAAATTCTCCACTGCCTTAACCAGGTATTGAACTCCCAACTCTTTGGGTCCTGTCACTGGATCTAAGCAAAACCTTTATCCACTGTGTGTCCTTGAGGACATCTGTGTATGAATTTCTAGGACTTATAAACCTAATGTTTTCGGAAATATTTTTTTACCAGTGCTCATATTGCAATTTTTGCTGTTATCATCAATGTTTTTTACCAGAGCTCATATTGCAATTTTCTTTAACCAGGTATTGAGCTCATAATCTTGGTGTCCTGTCACTGGATCTAACACCTTTATCCACTGTGCCATTTGTCCTTGAGGACATCCATGTATGAGTTTCTGGGGCTTATAAATTTAATGTCTTCAGCAACCATTTTTTTACCAGTGCTCATATTGCAGTTTTTGCTGATATCATTTAAATTTTTTTACCAGAGCTCATATTGCAATTTTCTTTAACCAGGTATTTAACTCACAAGTCTTTGGGACCCGTCACTAGATCTAACCATTGCCTTTATCCACTGTGCCGTGTGTTCTTAAGGACATGGTGGAACTCTGTTTTTAATTTTCATTTTTTCCCAGTTTTCTTATTTGTTATTCTTTTCTTGTTGTTATCAATATGTCTTTTCATCGTTAATGCAATCATTAAATTTTGAACCCTCTTAAAATATCTGACTTTGAAATCTTTTTTCTCTCTCTCTCTATTCGTTTTTTTTTTCCTTTAATTTCAGAGGTTACCTTGACTACAAAAGGCCTGTATACCATTACTGGCCTGAATTTGCACAGAATGGGAAAGAAGGCATCACCGTGGAAATGCTTGTCAGCCACCAGGTAGAGTATATATATATACGAAGCCAACACTTTGAAATAATCTTAACTATTAACATAGTTTCCCTGCACTTTCTCTATAAATAGAAACTTTTAGATAAAAGAAATAGAATTTTAATTGTACTGATTAGCTTTCCTCGACGGCGGTGTTTCTCAACCATTTTAAGCGACGGCCCACCTAAGAGCAGATGAAAACTATAGCGAAGAAAACAGCGACTTACTTTGTCAAAACAAGCGACAGCGTGTTGCGTGTATCCTACAATGGAAAACGTGGCGAAAAAGAAAATTACTTATCAAAAAAAAAAAAAGGGCACGTATTCTGTGTGACATTCTGAAGACGGAATATTTATCTTAGAAACAAGTCAGTCGCAGGAGTCATGATAAAAGTATTTTGATATGCAAAAATTAGGTGTCCTCTCCTAGTTGTTGACGAATGGAAAAAAATGCTCAGCCGATAAAAGCAGTTGGTGTTCTCGAATCGGGGATGAAAATTGGTGTAGTTTGTAACCCAACAGCAAATTTAAAAGCAAAATGTTTTTTAGTTACATTAAATTGTAAGCTTCCTTCTGGATATTTTTCATCTATCTATCTATCTATCTATCTATATATATATATATATATATATATATATATATATATTGTGTGTATTTAGGCAGCATTTTTTCATTCATACATGTTTCATTAAATAATATAGACAAGTGTTGTCTATTTATTTTATGTAAATTCTTTTCGTAACATCTGATAAGCTTAATAACATTATCATTAAACGAAGAAAGAAAATCACAGTATTAATACATGTTTTTTTAATCCAATCTAAGCTTTCAGCTTACATAAGCCATTATCAAAGATGTCAATTACTGTACAACATAAAAAATATGGATCAATATAACATGAAATGATAACAACAAAAACTGCAATATGAGCTCTGGTAAAAAACATGGAATGATAACAAAAACTGCAATATGAGCTCTGGTAAAAAACATGGAACGATAACAAAAACTGCAATATAAGCTCTGGTAAAAAACATGGAACGATAACAAAAACTGCAATATGAGCTCTGGTAAAAAACATGCAATGATAACAAACTGCAATATGAGCTCTGGTAAAAGACATGGAATGATAACAAAAACTGCAATATGAGCTCTGGTAAAAAACATGGAACGATAACAAAAACTGCAATATGAGCTCTGGTAAAAAACATGGAACGATAACAAAAACTGCAATATAAGCTCTGGTAAAAAACATGGAACGATAACAAAAACTGCAATATGAGCTCTGGTAAAAAAACATCTAATGATAACAAACTGCAATATGAGCTCTGGTAAAAGACATGGAATGATAACAAAAACTGCAATATGAGCTCTGGTAAAAAACATGGAATGATAACAAAAACTGCAATATAAGCTCTGGTAAAAAAAACATGGAACGATAACAAAACTGCAATATGAGCTCTGGTAAAAAAACATGTAATGATAACAAACTGCAATATGAGCTCTGGTAAAAGACATGGAATGATAACAAAAACTGCAATATGAGCTCTGGTAAAAAACATGGAACGATAACAAAAACTGCAATATAAGCTCTGGTAAAAAACATGGAACGATAACAAAAACTGCAATATGAGCTCTGGTAAAAAAACATGTAATGATAACAACAAAAATTGCAATATGAGCTCTGGTAAAAAAACATACAATGTTAACAGCAAAAATTGCAGTATGAGTTCTGGTAAAAAATAGATCCTGAAGACATTAAGTTTATAAGACCCAGAAATTAATACACAGATGTCCGTAGGGGCACACGGCACAGTGGATAAAGGTGTTGGATGATAGGACCCAAAGAGTTTGTGTTCAATACCTGGGGAAGGCAGTGGAGAACTTGGAGACATGAATTAACTGACATCCATTGGCATGTGGAACTAGGACAGCCTACCCCATCGAGGAAAATAAAGAGTTCAGTTTGACATATATATTCCAACTGCCGGAGTGTACAACGTAAATACGGCAACGAAGATAAGGACAATAGTCCGAATAATGTAAATGGTGTTAGAAATTAATTTATTTTGGACTAAGTTTTTTTTTTTTTTTATTATTATTATTATTATTATTATTATTATTATTATTATTTAATCTCTTTTTTTCAAAAATTTATTTTGATTAAATTTGTAGGCCGGTCTTATTGGATTTGACGAACCAATCAGCATTCGCCTTTTGAAATCAGATTATGAACAATACACTTCCCTTCTCGCAGCCCAGAAACCATTCTGGGAACCAGGTCAGAGGTTTTAAACCGTTTTAAATTTCTGCTTCAGCTTCTGATTTTTCATTTTATTTCATTTATTTTCTTAAATCCGATAACTGTAAATTTAATTTCAGTAAGTGCGCAATATATATACATGTGGCAATGTTAGTAATAACGGTTTCCTTATAAGGAAATATTCAACATTCATTGGGCGAGGAGCCAGTGCTATTGCTGGTTGAAATTTATAAAATCACTAGCAGCATGGCCCAGCGTTGCCTGTGCTTGATTTACAGCAATCGCTATCACTTGACTTAAAATATTTTTGCCCTTCCTTGCCTTTAAAGGAGTGCCCTTTACCGTGCTGATGTTACTACATGCCTTACTTCTTGCCTATCTCACACTGCAAATTTTTTCTAAGCTCTATACTAAACATTAAATCTGTTAACGACAAAAGAACTAAACAAAATGAACACAAAACGATCAGTTTTGAAAACGGACTCGTAACTGGAAAAACCGAATGAAAAAAGAATGTTAACAACAAATACTTTTTCACACCCAACTCAGTTCTGTGGAATCAGAATCAATGTTGAGTTTAAGCAAGCGAATGAGCCAATTGGAGTAAAGTGCCATGCAGATTTAAATTTTTCCCACTTATGACAAATGCAGTTATCGATTTTTTCTGCATGCTAGCATGCTAGTTAACATCCATGTCAGTCAGCTGTTGGCTCTCATGCTGGCCAGTAGAATCTTCCTGCCTATTCGTGGCAGCCAGCTATTGGCTCTCACTCTGGCCAGTAGAAAATGGCCGCAAACGACATGAAAAATGCTGTAGAATCATGAAAAAATCGATTATTTCCACTATCGATGGGAGTTGGGAAATGCAAAGTCGGTGTTGTCCTTCCTGCTAACTTGGAGTATGTGCATGTAAATTTTGGTGCAAATCCGTCAAAAATTGTGGCCGTGCATTCGTTACACACACACATCTTGCCTTTTTTAGAGAGAGATTCGTGGTGTAATTGTGACAAGTTTTGTAACCATGTTCTCTGTCATGATCATCTGTCGTTCACTGCAACTGAGGTTGATTGTATTTGCATTGTACACCCAGCTCATTATGTACAGAGAATTGTTTTCTCATCCGTGATCACTTTCAAAAAATAATATTAGTGACAACCAAATATTTCTAAAGACACTGTTTGGGAGTTCTTACGTAGCCAGCTGTCTTTCCCTTCAGCTGAGCTGCTATCGTCCTAACTTCACTGTCCTCTGGGCTCGGCAACTAATGATTTACAACTACCGGTCCGTCTGTCACTGGTCACTGGGCAGTTCCAACTTCTCTGGTCACCTCTTACGGCTGGACCTGCTTTTTATAAATATAATGTCATATAGGTAGTCTTGAAATAAGAGAAAGATAATGCTATGAGAATCAATAATTATTGGATACTAGCTTAAAAGCCATCCTATCGGGTGCCATTTTAAGCTAGCTCCTGCAGAGGGGACTTGTGACACCATTTGTGGCGAATTTGTGACAAGTTTTGTGATGACATTCTCCGCTTGGCCATCGTTCACTGCACCTGTGACGACATCCAGGGTTGATTGTATTTACATTGTACACCCAACTCTCTACGTGCACAGGTTTGTCTTCTCAACTGTGATCGCTTTCAACAAATAATACTAGTGACGACCAAATATTTCTAAAGACACTGGTTGGGAGTAGCCAGCTGTCTTTCCCTTCAGCTGAACTGCTATCTTCCAAACGTCACTGGCCTCTGGAAATCTCTTCTGGCTTATTGCTCCCCAGTCACCTTTGATCTTCAAAAATTGAAATGCAATGTCAATCGTTATCTTCTGTCTTTTTAATTCTTGTTCTTTTATTGTCCTTTCTCCTTAATAGCAGTTTTTCTCATATTCTCTAACACTCAGTAATCCCCTTGCATCTTAGTGGTTTTATTGCCTTTGATCTTCAAAAATTTAAATGCAATGTCAATTGTTATCTTCTGTCTTCTTAAATCTTGTTCTTTTATTGTCCTCTCTCCTTAATAGCAGTTTTTCTCATATTCTCTTACAGTCAGTAACCTCTTGCATCTTAGTGGCTTTATTGCCTTGCTTGGGGGTGAAATGGTTACAATGATTATGTGGATAATCCTTGGGTCTCAACCCCTCCATCCATTTGCCTTCCGAAAGATATGAGACCACCCAAAAGCTGGATGGTGGTCAAGTTTTCAAAAGATTCTACTTTTATGAATCCCCAAAACACTGGGACGTAAGCTGACTCAAAGATGGACTGAAGACAAAATTCCTATGAAACTCAGATAACTAAGTTGACTTAAAAGAAATTATCTCCTTATCTTCTAAAGATATGTGAGAAATCATATTGTTACAGCAAGTCGGCTCCCTGTGCCATTTTTTTTTTCTCACTGGAGTCGATCCTTCAGATCTACAAATCAACCATTTGCCCTTGCATGGGATATTGCTGCCATATATGGTCTGGAGCCCCTTCTGTTTGTCTCAAGGTCCTCGATAAAATCCAAAGACGGATATGCAATGGTAATTGGCCCTGATCTCTCTGACATCTGTCGCCTCCTGTCTTTTTACAAATACTTTCTAACTCTCATAGTCATGCCATTTCGCCTTCCCTCTGTCTTTTTTACAAAAACTTTAAATGTATCCTGGTTCTACTAGTGATGCCAACAAAATGAGCTCCTCCCCTTTCATTTTATAGTTCAATCTCAACTATTCAAATGAAGGTCAATAATACCTTGATCTATCCCCCTATCCTTCTCCTCATCCTTTCCTCTAAGGCTCAAAATATGGCTTCCTGCGATGTGTATGAAAGGCGGCTAAACATCAAATCTAAAATATTGTTTTCATCATGAATATTTGAAACATTTTTTAATCATTTGAATATAATGGAATGTCACACCTGTGTTCCCCCCTCACTGGAATATGATTGGCTGGTGTCTGTCACCTCCACCGTGTAGGGACAGTCTTGTTTATGGAGGTTGGACTGCCCTTGGCTAACCAGTATTATCCTAATATGCAATTATGCTGTGTTAATATAATGTCAATCAGGTTTGAATAATTCTTGGACATATTCATAAAAATATAATTAACATTGGGCATTCAATTCAACATAAAAAGGCGATGGACATAAGATCCAGACAACTGAAATTTTTTAAGATCGGCCTTGTTTCACAATGTGATCATAACCCTTGGGCGGTTGTGGTGGCTAAATATCAATGAAAATGAAAAGAATTTTATTTTAATCTAAATTTTATATGGCGTTTACCAGCATTAATTTTGCTAGACAAGGGAAATATTAAAGAAGCCGGGTCTAATATTCACCGGAGAGATGTTATGCCTGCCTCATAAATCCGGATTTTTTTTGCCCTGAATATATTTTAAAATCTTCACAGAATCAAATCGAAATATGATCAGATTTAGTTGTGTATTTTAAAGCATTGAAATTACCGAGTTATCTGTTTTATTAGGGCCGGAGATTTTCATGTTGAATTGAATATAGTCTAAGGTTAATTATGTTATAAATATGTCCTGAAGAAGTCTACTAGACCTAAAACGTCCAACTAAATTATGCAACATTAAAACCAGCCTTTGTTTGTTTTTCCGATATTTTTCTTCATACCATATATTTGTTTGACGATAGTTGATTAACTACGTATTCTACTTGGTTATAGTTAACCATAGCTACTTGATCAAATATATCCCATTCGGGACATATCACATTTTATCTCAAGGGCTATAAAGCCACTAAGATGCAATTGTTTAAAAAAATAAAAAAGACGTTATTCTATCTTAAATCAGCAATGTTTTGCAGTAATTTTTAACATTCACTTACGATTTTTTTTGTTTGAAATGTTGATTAAGTTTCACATATTTATCATTAGGGGATAAATATTAGTGAATTTTTTACAGTGTGTTTTTTTTTTTTTGAGACTTAGCAAAACAAATTCACAGATTTCAATGAAAAATAAAAGACTTCAGAATGATGTAAAAATCTGAAAATTTTTCATCCTATAATTATGCTTAGTTTAATTTGTAGTCTAGATAAATATAGCTAGAAATAATAAGATCAAAAAAGCTCTCCAGAGCTTTGGTCAGCTTCCTCTAACACCAAATGTTCTGTAATCCCTTGCATGTTATGTTCTTGTGCAGTAAAACACAAAATCAGGATCAGTTTATTCTTGGGCATGTAAAAAAAGAGAAAAGAAAAAAAAAATCAATTTTACAAAATATTTGTCAACATATACACAACATTATTCCTATTGCCCTCATCTTTGTACCATTTTATCACACTTTATTTTAATCATTTTGATATAATTGGCTTTAATATATGCAAATAGTTTCCTCACCTGTGTTATTCCCCTCACTGGAATATGATTTGCTCCTGGTTCAAGTATGTTATTTGTGTGCATTCAACATCTCCAGAGTTGGAATACTGGTTCCACTTCTAGGGATGAGTCAGAGGGTCTGAACTGCTGAGACTCCGTGGGTACCTTGGTGAACAGACTCACCATGCTCAAGCTCTGCTTGGATAGGATGGGAGCATCTTTGATTATTTCCACAAAGTGGGTGGAGTTTTGGGCATATGAAGGAGACTTTTTTGATCAATGGGTCAATTAGATCTACAAGGTAGCAACTCAGACGGTGGCACACTGAGCCTTGGCAACTAACAATCGGCCTGAGCAGAATACCGCCTTTTGTGAATCTTAGGGAGACCATATATGATAGGTAGCTTGGTATAATGTTGCGATAATTGCCTATACGTTACACCAAGCTACCTCACAAATACCCAGAAATTCATACCCAGATGTCCTCAAGCACAGTGGATAAAGGCGTTGGTTAGATCCAGTGACAAGATCCAAAGAGTGAGTTCAATACCCGGTTAAGGCAGTGGAGAACTTTTGGAGGGAAAATTAACAGGAGATAACTGATAGCTGACATCCATCAAACATGGCACATGGAACTAGAACAGTCTACCCCAGTGAGCGAAATAAAGTGTTCAGTTCAACATTCCAACCACCTGAAGAAGGCTGGAGTGTACAACGACCGAAACGTTGTGATAAATATGGTGACAAAGATGAGGACAATAGTCCGAATAATGTAAATAATGTACATAATATCTCATCTCAGAAATATAGACAGACTCTAACAAATACCTATATCAACTATTTTTTTCATTTTCTTTCACTACATAAATTCATTAAAATAGGTTAAGAGTATCTGAATTTATAGATTTTTTTTGAGAAATGACAGCAATAATGTTAAACACTATTATATTAGTGTATATCTATGTAATTATGTTTTATTTTACAGGAAGTACATTTGGTTATCATATGCTCACCTGGGGTTATTATGTTGACGTCCTTCTGATGAAAGCTGATCCTAAGAAACGAACCCTGGAACAAATCTTTCAAGAAGAAATTACTGAACCATTTGGTAATATTTTTCTTTTTTGGATGTTCTTATGTTTTTTACAAAAATTACATTGCCTGCTGTTGACATAGGTATACTTTTTCAAGATTTACTAATGTCTTTGCAGAAATTTCATTGCCTGCTGTTCATATAGGTATACTTTTTCAAGATTTACTAATGTCTTTGCAGAAATTGCATTGCCTGCTGTTGACATAGGTATACTTTTTCAAGATTTACTGTCTTTGCAGAAATTACATTGCCTGCTGTTGACATAGGTATACTTTTTCAAGATTTACTAATGTCTTTGCAGAAATTGCATTGCCTGCTGTCGACATAGGAATACTTTTTTAGGATTTACTAATGTCTTTGCAAAAATTGCATTGCCTGATGTCGACAGGTATACTTTTTCAAGATTTACTAATGTCTTTGCAGAAATTACATTGCCTGCTGTTGACATATATATAGTTTTTCAAGATGTATGAATACATCTTTACAAAACATACATTGCCTCCTGCTGACATATATGTTTTCAAGATCTATTTATGCTTTTTCAAAAATTACATTACCTCCTGTTGACATATATATATATATATATATATATACTTTTTCAAGGTGTACAATGTACATAAGTTTATGTCTTCACAAAAATGACATTGCCTTGTTTTCACACACACACACACAGATATATATATATATATATATATATATATATATATATATATATATATTGCCTGCTGTTGACATATATATATTTTTTCAAGTTGTATTAATACATAGTGCGATGAATAAATTGTTGCCTAAATGAGGCAAAAATGAAAATAACACTGACATTTCATTTTAACAGCTATATATTTACCAAAATTACACAAAAATATCTTGAAATACTAAAGAGTAAATTTATTCAATAAAATCTCCATTTGGATTCAACCACGGCCTCCAGATGATTTTGGAATCTCCTGCAATTCTTTTGGACAGTCTTCTTGTTTAAATTGGTGAATGCTGCCATATTCCTTGCTTTCGGTTCATCTTTGGTGTTACATCGAGTTTTGTTGGTCTCTCGCTCAAATGCACCCCACACATAATAATCAAGGGTGCTGCAGTCTGGAGAGTTAGGTGGCCAGATGTAAGGAATAATATGGTCGCAGAAATTGTCTGGCAGGCATGACTGTGTTCTGCTGTTGCATTGTGCAGAATCCTGTTGCCAGACATAGTATCTTCTAGCAGCCACCCTCTTGACCCCAGGGCAACACTTCCTCCTCAACGAACTTGATGTAAGCCTCCGTGTTGAGTCTGAGGCCCTGTAGGAAAATAAATGGAGGCATGATGTTGCCATGACTCGTGATCACTCCAAACACCTTTGTAATCACCATTAAACTTATCCATTTTTTTCTGAATTGTTCATACTGGAGCTTCTGGTGCAAATGCCAAGCAGTACAGCATGTTGTTTCCAAATTTCTGGCAGAGTGAATTGCATCATGGTGCTCTTTTCCTCACAGATGGTGTTCAAGTGACCCGACTATACTGTGCAGTCAACAAAATTAAAAACGAACAACACGCATGAAATTGAAAATATAAAATGCCGATAATTTACTAATCGCCTCCTCTGCTTACTGTAGTCACATATTTTGGTACTTTGCATCATTCTGGGCATATTTTATAGTAATTAAATGGTCTTCATTCTCTTTTGTACAAAGCTACCCACAAAATGGTGAGAACCCCTTACTTTTTTTTTTTTTTTTAAAGCTTTTCACCCCAAGCAAGATGGGAGTGCCATTAGCATGCAAGAGGTTACAGAGAGTGGGATCAAGAGTAAAGAGGCGTGATAGAAGAAAGGATAAACAGAAGGACGGGAAATAGATCAAGGCATCTGGAGATGTCGATTGACACTGCATTTGAATATTTGGAGATTATAGCTATCAGGGAAGCAAGTAAGAGGAAGGGAGTTTCTCAGACAGGAAGTGCGAGACATGAACATGAACCTATTGGAGTAGTGAAACAGTGAAAGAGTGGGACTGAGATGCCAACCTAGTAGCATGTTTAAATTCATGTCATTTGGAAACCAGTGAAAGTACTTCGTCAGAGCAGTTACCGTGAAATTATTTGTAGAAAATACAGAGAGAGGTGACGGCACGTCTGTGAGAGAGTGACTATAAATGAGATGCCAGATCAGGGCTAATGATACAGAGATTTAGATACTATTCTTTTGTTTTGTACACACCTTAATGTTAAGGTAGGTCAGGGGTCGGCAACACATTCGACCCCGAGGGCCAGATCGTGTTATAATGACGGGTCGCGGGCCGGACGAAGGCCATTAATGAAAAATTAAAGAAAATTACATATGCAGACCACCTGTCAACCTAAATATTTAAAACCATAATGAAAATAAACATTGAGAAATCAGAAAAAAACAAAAGAAAATCTAAAATTAAAAAAAACACCTAACAAAAATTACTTTTCCTCAAGGAACATCAAAATACTTCAAAGTGAAAAAAATCAACCGAAGTGAAATGGATGGAATTATGACGTGTAGGTTTGAAAATTATTTCACAAACGCACCACACACACACACACATCAAACAAAAACGAAGCACATATACCCATAAATACGAGTACAAATAGTTGCAAACATATACACTTACGTACATACACATGCGGTATCATCCACACATTCATGAGGCATTTATGTATAATGCGCGTATGTTTAACTGTCTTTAGATTTCTGCTACCTCGCATGTCAGTCCCTCCCTGGCCTCTTTCACTTTATCGTTCCTTTCGCTTCTGTTATCTTTTAATGTAGCCAAGGGTCATAACAAATATGTAGCCATTATTTGACATTAAACGTAGGCAACACAACTTGGTAAAATAAGTCTCATGAAAGATAACTGGCAGATAGTCTAATTCGAAAGCCTCGTCTCTCACGTTAAAAATAGAGTCATTGGTAATCAGGCTCACGGGCCGGGCAAAATGCCTTTGCAGGCCGGATCCGGCCAGTGGGCCATAGCTTGTCGACCCTTGAGGTAGGGTCTACCAAAGGTAGAGTGAGGAGATAGGCCTACTAAGTAGGTTATGGTCACTGAAAACGCTTGATATTAAACCTCTTCAAAAATTTATGTCCCTTGTATTTTTGTGTTGAAAAACTGATCATAAAACCTCTATACTTGAGTATGTATATTATACGTAATTGCTCAGCGGAAAAAACATGGAATGACGTAGACTATCCTTTTGATAAAAATTATTTCCAACTAAGTTTATTCCAACAAATAGAAAAAAAAAACAATACCTATTTTTCAAAACAATTTTAACAGGTTTTCTTTTTTTTTATTAATGCAATGACATAAATATTGTCCAAATAACTATGGAAACACATTTATTTATAAATTTATGAAGATGTCTGACAGTGAGGAATTTTAAATAAACGCGCCATGATGAGTAACTGTGATATTAAATTTTGTAAAAAAAAAAATGAATTGTCCATAAATTCAACTAACATAGGCTGTGAGCGTTTGGATTTATAATTTTTTTTTTTTTGAGAAGTGACAACAAAAATGTTAAACACTATTTATAAGACTGCTTATTTACAAGAATAATGTTTAACATTTTTGTTGTCAGTTCTCGAGAAAAAAGAGAATGAATAAATCTAGTTTCATAAGTTTCTGTTTTATTAAAATACTAAAATAGCTTACAAATAAAATAGCTTAAGAATAACATTGCTTAAAAATAAAATAGCTTACAAGTAAAATTGCTTACAAATACAATTGCTTAAGAATAAAATAGCTTAAAAATAAAATAGCTTAAGAATAAAATTGCTTCAAAATAAAATAGCTTAAAAATAAAATTGCTTAAAATAAAATTGCTTACAAATAAAATAGCTTATAAATAAAATAGCTTAAGAATAAAATTGCTTCAAAATAAAATAGCTTAAAAATAAAATAGCTTATAAATAAAATAGCTTAAGAATAAAATTGCTTAAAAATAAAATTGCTTGCAAATAAAATAGCTTACAAATACAATTGCTTAAGAATAAAATAGCTTACAAATAAAATTGCTTACAAATAAAATAGCTTACAAATACAATTGCTTAAGATTAAAATAGCTTAAGAATAAAATTGCTTACAAATAAAATTGCTTTAGAATAAAATAGCTTAAAAATAAAATAGCTTAAAAATAAAATTGCTTTAGAATAAAATAGCTTAAAAATAAAATTGCTTAAAAACAAAGATTTTATTACTAATAGCTTTTAAAAACAATAAAAATTACCAAGAAAGTGTACAGTAAAGGCAGGTCAAGAGCAAAACTGTCCTTTTGATGGATCATTTTTTTCTGTTGTGTGTATGTATGTTAAACTATGCCGTAAGTTCAATCCTCACTGAAATTCTACAGATAGTATCAGTTGGCAGCAGATATCTTGTTAATGAAAACATCTGAAAGATGTTACAGAAGTTGTTTTTGACAGTAATTATCTTGATAAAGACAGTCAGATAAGTGAAGTGGACCTCACAAAAACCATGTCAAACGACCCTAACAAAGAAGTTCAGCTGAGCAGACATGATGAATTACTTTTTTTGATGAAAAATGACAGGACAAAGAATGTTTGTTCTCTAGAAGACAGTGGTCGCCCACAGTCAAAAATAGAGGAGTAATTTCCACAAGGCGAAATGCAAAACGCACACCAATCAGGCTGTTAGTCTTGTCACTTCACATCATTCTGCCTCACTCGTCTACAGCAGAAGTTTAACACAGAATAAAATTTGCCGACTGTTACAATCTCATCTCATGGTTTTATTTCGTCGGTAATTATCTGGCTAAATGAGTTATTTTCCATGTATTAAGCCATGATCCTTTGATTAGTAGAAACTGCACCCTGAGAATGAACCTGTTGTCTAGTTTCACCTGCGATGCTAAACTGTGTTCCCTGTACTTATGTCCTTATGTCAGACTTAATTATGCTTCATAAGAAAAAGCACCTACCATAATTTGTTTATTAATTCAATGTCAGTCATTATTGAGTACCCTATTTTCATAGCACTGTGTCGCACGCTTCACTCAAACCTTGTGATATTGTTTTTAGGTATTGATTTCTTCCAAGGAACCCCAACTTCAGAACATTATCGTATTGCATCCCGCATTTACATGCAGTCACTGTGGCACCAGCTTTATCTTTTTGCAAATAAAGACTTCTGGAAACATATGAAGCACGCCTTTTTTGATGAGAATGGCTACCAAGCCGCTGCTAAACGTGCCTGTCAGGAGTATTTGGTAAGCCTTGATATTTTCATTATATTGGCAATCATGACTCTCCACAGCTTTCTTTTTGTTATTATTTGGTAAGCCCTGATATTCTTTTTATTTATTTTTTTATAAAAGCCATGTACATTCAAGACATTTGGCAATCATTGATATTTTCATTCCTTTTAAAATTTTTTTTTGTTTTGTTCATTTGGGATTTGGTAAACTTCCTTTTTGTTATTTTTTGGTATTTCTTTTTAAAATTTTTTTTTTAAAATGTTGTTTGTTCAGGATGTTGGGAATTATGACTCTCCACAGCTTCCTTTTTTTATTATTTGCTAAGTCTAGATATTCTCCTTACTTTTTATTTATTTTTTTTTTTATAAATGCCATGCTTGTTCAGGACATTGGCAATCATGACTCTCCACATTTTCCTTTTTGTTATTATTTGTGGCAAACCTTGATATTTTCCTTACATTTTTTTATTTATTCTTTTAAATGCTATGTTTGTTCAAGACATCGGTAATCATGACTCTCCACAGCTTCCTTTTTGTTATTATTTAGTAATCCCTGAGATCTTCCTTACTTTTTTTTATTTATTTTTTTTAAATACTATGTTTTTTTTTTTTTCTTTTTTTCGGGGATTTGTTTTGTTGGCTGTATGTGCTGCTCGGAATACCTGCACGGAAGAGGCCTTTTTTTTTTTTTTTTTTTTTTTTTGTTTTCTTAGTGCTCACATCTGGCTGACATGTAGAGCAAATCCAAAAGAACAGATTAGAGATTTTCATTCAGTGTACTAAAAACTGGACAAATTTTTGAACTGATTCAAATCACGAAATGAAAGTTGTCTTGTATGGCCACTCTTCTAGATCCTTTTCCATTAATGCATGTGTTCACCAGGGCTCTATCATTGGACGTCTGTTGTTCCTAGGTTGGTATCTACGATTATGACACAGCTATTTATTCCTGTCTCGATAGTAACTCTGATTGGCTCAATAAGGTCAAATTGGCAGCTGATCTCAAAATTCTGTTGTTAAATGGTGCAAGGAGTGTGTTATAGTGGGACACTATGGAGGTATCAAAAAAGATAAAAGCGGATTGGCTATATGATGTACTTGGTGAAAGGTGAAAAATTCACGTGCAGTAACCAGATCAGACGACGTTTTTCAGACGTGGTTGACAGCGATCCCGCGGAAGAAACGCCGATGGAGGTGATGTTCGATACGTTTGATCTAACAACGCCTGCAACAATTTTACCTGAGGTATGCCGATCCAGAAGAAAAAAGAAAGGCAACTGATCATTTAAAAGTGGATAAAAAAAAAAATGTAGGAGATATGCTACGATGTTGCTAAAAACAATGTTGCTTAAAAAAAAAAAAATTTTTTGTTTTTTTTTCTTCATATTTCCTGTAAAAAATGAAAAGTAAATAAAGAAAACTGTTTACTCCTACGGAGTAAAGTTTTAGGGGGGGATGTTATAGTGGAACACACCTATTCTATAGTTAATAGACTCTCCCACCTATAATAAGTAGGAGTAGAAAGAGTAACGAGGGAGTCGCTCAGTGGGTCAGTCAGTCGATGCTGGACGACTGTTAGTCGGATACTAAAGTATCAATGACCACAACTAGATTACTGCGTCATTACCTATTATATCAAGTTCCTAACGTTTTGTACGTCGAACCTGTTTTAGGACCGACTTAGTGAAATACAAGCCTCCACTGTGAAACCACATGACAGAGTGGCATGTTAATTTTAACACCTCCAAAACGAAACCACTCTCTTTTAATCAGCTGAGAGAACCATTTTTACCATCCATTAACATGGCTGATGCTAACCTCCAGGAGAATGACTCATTGCGCCTTCTCGGATTAATGTTTTCCACTGATATGAAGTGGAAAGATTATATTGAATCAATTGCTAAGTCTGCAGCTAAGAAAGTTTGCTCACTATGTCATGCTGGACAATATTTCTTGCCAGAATTTATTTTACATATTTATAAATTTACCATTTGTCCTTGCAATGTTATTGGTCCTGACCTGGCATCTCGGCTTCAGTCTGTTTCCCACCTCTGTAACATATCCTTTTCTGTAAATACTTTTATGGCAATTGTTCTAATGAACTTTCCTCTATGGTACCTAGACTTTATGAATTTAAGTGCAGTACTGGATTGTCAGCTAGGTCTCATCATTTTACAGTTGAAATGGCCAGATGTAACTGTAAGTTCTATGTTAACAGTTTCTTCTATTACACTTCTTACTTGTGGAACTCTCTTCAGGCTTCTTGCTTCCCAGTCAACTTTGATCTTCAAAAATTTAAATGCAATGTCCATCGTTATCTTCTGTCTTCTTAATTCTTGTTCTTTTATGGCCCTCTCTCTTTAATAGTAGTTTTTCTCATATTCTCTAACAATCAGTAACCCCTTGCATCCTAGTGGCTTTATTGCCTTTGATCTTCAAAAATTTAAATGCAATGTCAATCGTTATCTTCTGTCTTATTTATTCTTGTTCTTTTATTGTCTTTTCTCCTTAATAGCAGTTTTTCTCATAATCTCTTACAATCAGTAACCCCTTTGCATCTTAGTGGCTTTATTGCCTTTGATCTTCAAAAATTTAAATGCAATGTCAATCGTTATCTTCTGTCTTATTTATTCTTGTTCTTTTATTGTCTTTTCTCCTTTAATATCAGTTTTTCTCATATTCTCTAACACTCAGTAACCTTTTGCGTCCCAGTGGCTTTATTGTCTTTGATCTTCAAAAATTTAAATGCAATGTCAATCGTTATCTTCTGTCTTCTTAATTTTTGTTTATTTATTGTCCTCTCTTCTTAATAGTATATTTTTTCTCAGATTCTCTAATACTTAGCAATCCCTTGCGTCTTAGTGGCTTTATTGTCTTGCTTGGGGTGAAATTATTAAAAAGAAAATATCAATTGTAATCTATGTATAAAATTCTAAAATGTCTGTTAGTCCGTCTGTTGGTTTTAGTGCCTAAAGTTTTACTCATTTTGGGGGAAAAATTAACTTTTATTATTTAACCCACTATTTTAAAAATTATATAATTATTAAAATAATAAATACTTATTTAATAAAAATGCAATATTTTTTTTTTATATTAAGTTTTTATATATACAAGAATCCAGTTTCCAGTTTGCCCAGCATTTGCGAGAACTGTAAACAAATCACAAGGCCAAATGCTTCAAAGAGATGGAATTTGTCTCTTGAAAGAAATATTTACTCATGACTAGTTATATGTTGCATGCTCAAGAGTAAGAAATCCTAAGAATTTATTCTTTGCTGTTAAAAAGGAAAAAAAAGAAATTTTCTTAAAAAAATATTGTTTACCATGAAGTCCTATAATATTAAATTATTAAACTGTGAAGTAGGCTTTTTGTCAGCTTATTCAAATTTCATCAATGGGTTTGTGAAATTGAACGAAACATAGTTTGTAGATCTTGACAAAAAATCTTAGCGATAAATTCAACAATGCTAAATACCGTGAGGATTTAAATATGAATGAGTCTGAGATGCAAAAATTTCTAGTACTTAAAATTATCAATTACTTACTTGTTTATTTTAAAATTTATTTTATATTACATTAAAAAATATCCAAGAAATTCTCTCTTGTCAATATTTGTTGCTTTTACCGTTATATATTGCCTTTTATCTTTCAGGGAAAGGATGCTATTGAGGCAAAAACAGACTATGAACTTCGCACGATTCCGTTATCAAGTTCTAACGGTTATGGCACTGCACGGGCAATCGCTAAATTGTATGGAATTGTTTCAAATGGCGGAGTCTACAATAAGAAAACACTTCTAAAAGAGTCAACTATAGACCAACTGGAGCAAGTTGTCGTACAAGGAATTGACGCTGTAATTGGCGCTAATATGACAATCGGACGTGGAGTCATGATATTAAAATCACCAAAGGTAAGATCTGTATACATTGTAAACATTTTTTCGTTCCTTAATTCTTTTTATTGTATTATCCTGTCTTTTTGCATCTTAGTGGCTTTATTGCCTTGCTTGAGGTGAAATGATTGAACAAAAAATATTTACAGTATTTAGCATTACAAAGTTTTTTTTATCAATCTTTATTAAACAATTTGTAAATGTTTTACAAAGCGGATTCAAAAAATAAATGTATGGCAGCATTCCGGGCCACAGCCTTGTCATGGCCACCAGTTATGGTGGCGTTCAGGGTTCAAATCCTGGTCATGGCAACCAGATTATTGCGGTGTGACCAGGATCGTGGCCTGCTTTGGTCAGGATCAATCCTGGTATCAAAGAACAAGCCGTCAGCCCACACTCGTCAGTTGTTGATGGCGTTTGACACAGCAGCTGGTCTTTAAGTTGACCTCGTCAACTATGACCTCTTTATCCACGTTGTGATTTTTGATCTTAAGAGGGTCAAGCTAAATTATTACTGGGGTATCTTAACCACGCTAAACCAAGGAGTTGAATACGCGCACACAAAATTGAAAAATAAAATGGACAACGCCTGAATAAGTCACAATAGGATGTTAATATCAAAATAAAAAAAAAAGATATTTACAGTTCTGTTTTTTTTTTTCCTTTTTTTCCTGACCTGTTCTAATATTTGGCGACAGAACGAAAATTTCAGGTAACTTCTTTAAGGGTGGCCAAACTTGACAACTGGATTTATCTTGAAGTACTGTGAATTGTACTTTCCAGAATGGCACAAGGTTTATTGTCAGAGTCTTTCTTCTTCAGCAGATTATTATTATTATTATCATTAAATTGGCAAAACAGCATTATGATAGAAATCTCTTAACTCCTAGTCGCAACTTCGCTTCAACTGCAATTCCAACGGCAACTGCCTCCAACTTGAACTAACTATGCCTCCCATGGGCACTTGTATTTATGGATGCCCCTTCTAACTGGTGTGGTGCAGGCGAATAGGTGGGTTTTATGCAAATCTCCTAAAATTCAACCACTTTCTTTCATTTTCTATTTCACGCTTCCAATTTGGGAAGATCCCCTCCTCTTTCGGGAGGAGCCATTATATAATGCCAACCTTCCCGGCGTCATCTTCTGCCTTTACAATTGCTCACAATCATAATTTTTTCTCAGGGAAATTTTGGCTGACAACTTTCTCAGTACTTATGCTTTGGACAACTTTCAACAGATGTATTAACCTCTGGCCCCTGAACCTGCCAGCTGTGTTTCGCTGAATCGCATTGTGTAACTTTTTCAACCTGTTCTCAGTATCCTGGGAAAATGAATCCCTTTCTGACAAAAAAAAAAAAATAAAATCATTTTCTTAACCCTTCTCATCCATACGCCATGTTAAATATTGTTATAAATGTCCATAAACTTATTTGATACACTATCCGTTCAATATGCCCCCCCCCTTCTGCAATTGAAGACAATTGGTGAATGACACGCATTAGACACAGATAACAATTTGGGGGGTATTTTGCCTTATTCCATCAAGAGTTTTGTCTTCAGAGACTCCAAACTGTGGTGGAGTGTAGCAGAAACCTTTGTTTTCTAAAATGTCCCAGATGCTGTAGTCAAGAGGATCCATATCTCAAGACGATGGCGGCCATTCTTCCTTCGAGATGAAGTGAGGAACATGGGTTGCTAGCTACTCTTGAGTTGTTTTTGCCCCATGAGAGGGTGCTGAAACTTTTCGGAATAACCAACATCGGTTTTTGAAATGTCTTTGAGCCCAACGCAACAGTGATGACTCAAGAATGTCCTTCACATAATTTTCTCAGTTGAGTTTCACCACTGCTTCTACAAAAACCAGAGGACATTTTCCTGTTGCAGTCACAGCAATCCATGCCACCACAGAGGTCTCCCCATGTCTTCAAATAACTGCCTGAGGCTCGCTGTCTCCCGCTCAAGACAGAATCAGATTGTTCTGGTTGTTAAAATGCCGTCGATCATCAGATTTTCGTTGGCGAAAATTGCAAAAAATTAATGTGTACCAAAAATGGCGTTGGAAAATAAAAGTTTAAACTTCTTCCAAAGCAGCAGCAGGTGACTTCCAGCTTAAAATACCGGAAATAGCCAATGACTAGTGTTTATTTATAGCAACCCTCTTGAGGTCACAGAATGTGCCTAGAGCAACAAAGAGAGAAGTCTCCAGCAACAACTTTTGTTTCCAGCTAGTTAAAGGTTGACTGACCCATCAGTCGATATGCTGCTAAACAAATGATACCAGATCCTTATAGTTTGGACTCATCATGTTAGGTCCATGGAGTTCAATCACCCACATTTACTCTTTTTCTTTATTCCATTTGTAAGGAGGAAGTTTCATTTGGACAGCTTTTTTTCCTGTAAACTGCTACTCTGTGAAAGACTTCTATTTGAACTACAATTTTACCCTCTTTGAGTCTAAGGTCAATCACTTATATATCCCCCTTATCCTCCTAATCTTCACTTCCTTCTATCACACATCTTTTTCAGTAATTAGGTTTTGCATGCATGTTTTGATGCTGAAAACCATAAAATTGAAGTGTGACATAAAAAAACAAATACTTTAAAAACAACAACAAAAACTCCTGAATAAATGCTTCGTTTGATATTGACACGGCCATTTTTGTTTACAAATAAATCGCAAAAAAAAACTAACGTGGGTTTAATCAATGTTACGCCACATGTAGAGTATAGAAGAATTCAAAATGGGGTCAGAAAACGGAAATTTAACTTTCTTCCAAAGCAGTAGTAGGCGATTTCCAGCTTAAAATACCAGAAATAACAGTTGGTGAGTGTTTATTTATAGCAACTGTCTCAAGGCGACTGCATGTGCCTCGGGAAGCAAAGGGAGAGAATTCTATGATGGCAATTGTCACCTGCAGTGTGGTAAAGGTTAAACAAATTTGTATAACATGTTAAATTTTTTAAAATTAATCTAAGCGTAATGATAAATATTAAACACACTTATATGTCACTGCATACATAGCTGTGATTTTCTTTGTTGAAGCAGGATCAGAAATGGCCGCAAACTACATGAAAACTGCAGTAGAAGCATGAAAAAATCGATTATTTCCACTATCGATGGGAGTTGGGAAATGCAAAGTCGATCTTAGCCTTCCCACTAACTTGGAGCATGTGCATGTAAATTTTGGTGCAAATTAAATCGAAAATTGCGGCCGTGCATTAAACACACACACACACACACACACACACACACACACACACACACACACACACACACACACACATCCTTCCTTTTATAGATAGAGATTGTTGTAACCTAGGGAAGATTACTGAATAGATTAATCAAATGAAGGTTGGTAATGGACGATAATACTTAGGACAAGAACAACACATATAAGATTCGCCAGCGACGCGTAGAAGTAGTCAACTGAAATTAATTCCACAATGAATCTCCAACTACAGGATATCTACCAACCACCCAACACGGTCAGATGTGGCATAGGCCGAATTTAATGTGGGGTATCCGATCCTGTAAGATCAGGCAAAAAATCCCCATAGACCCCGTATAAAACAGGGTTGGGTAGCTGTTTCCCAAGACAAGACTCTGCCCTTTGACATAGCCTCGTCTGGGGATTCTCTCTGCTCGGAGGTAGAGAGTTTGACCAGCACTGCTGGAGATGAATCTCAAACTGTAGGATATCTGCTAACTGCCCCACGTGGTCAGATGTGGCATACGGCTGAATTTAATGTGGGGTATCCGAGCCCGTCGGCTTGGCCAAAATTTCCTCATAGGCCCTGTATAAAATGGGGTCAGGTAAGTGTTTCCCAAGACGAGACATTGGCCTTCGACATAGCCTCGTCTGGGAATCCTCTCTGCCCAGTTTGACCAGCACAGCTGGAGATGAATCTACAACCACCCCACATGGTCAGAAGTGGAATAAGGCTGAATTTATAATGGTGTATGTGGGCTCGGCCAAAATTCCCTGTAAACCTCGTATAAAACGGGGTTGAGTAGCTGTTTCCCCGAGAGGAGACTCTGCCCTTCGACATAGCCTCGTCTGGTGATCTTCTCTACCCGAAGACAGAGAGTTTGACCAGCTGCAGACCAACATACAGTATTTACTACTGTATTTATGTAAAAGGAGACATGCCAGTTATTGTCTGTAGGTATGCTACAACACTAGTAGAATAAAGTGTTAGTTCATGAACTTGATAGCGTAGTAATTGTGAGGTCAATCCTTGGAACAAGCAGTGTGTACTTAGGCTCGGTACAAACAGGTAAGTAATTTATGTTTTATTTATTATTCAGTCAAGCTAACTGGTACGTTCATGAGTCTATCACACCACCTGTCATGGTCTTGCATCAAGGTCAGAAGTTCTCTAGGGTCACTGTTATAGTGGAACGCACCTATTCTATAATTAATAGACTCTCCCACCTATAATAAGTAGGAGTAGTAAGAGTAACAAGGAGTCACTCAGTGGGTCTATCAGTCGATGCTGGACGACCGTTAGTCGGATACTAAAGTATCAGCGACCACAACTAGATTTCTCTGCATCATTACTTATTATATCAAGTTCCCCACAACGTTTTGTCATCATTACTTAACCTATTTTAGGACCGACTTAGTAAAAATACAAGCCTCCACTGTGAAATCACTCCATAACAGTTACTCAACACCTTGTCTGAAAATTGGAAAAATAAATTAATAAATCAAATTGACTGCTGACCGGAGATGGAACAAATACATTGAGTTAATGGCTTCGTCCACCGCAAGGAAAGTTGGCTCCCTGTGCCGCACCAGGAAATTTTTCTCCCCGGAATCGATCCTCCAGATCTACAAATCAACAATTCACCCTTGCATGGAGTATTGCTGCCATATATGGTCTGGAGCCCCTTCTGTCTGCCTCGGGGTTCTTGATTGGCTCCATAGGCGGATATGCAATATAATTGGCCCTGTTCTGGCATCTCGTCTACAGTCGCTTTCCCACAGATGTGCCGTCGCCTCTCTCTGTTTGTTCTACAAATACTTTCATGGTAATTGCTCTGAGGAGCTGCATTCGCTGGTTCCCAGACTTCATGAGTTCAAGCGCCCTACGAGGCTGGCACCCCACTCTCATCCTTTCACTGTCGAAACTATTAAATGTAGCCGTCTCTTTTACTCCAATAGCTTCATGTCTCGCACCTCTTGCCTGTGGAACTCCCTTCCCTATTCCAGTTTCCCTGAGAGCTATAATCTCCAACTATTCAAATGTAATGTCAATCGACATCTCCAGTTGCCTTGATCTATGCACTACCCTTCTCCACATCCTTTTCTCTATCACCCCTATCTGATCTTGCTCCAAATCTTCTGTAACCCCTTGCGTCCTAGTGGCTTTCCGACTTGCTTGGGGTGAAACGCTTAAAAAAAAAAAAATATATAGATAGACCTTGCCAGTTCATTTTAATCAAACTTGTTCGGATGAATTGAAAAAAAATGAGTTTGGTAATTGTCAAGTAGAAATGAAAAAAGTGACCATTGTCATATGTCATTATCTACTTTTTTTTTTAGTCTTCATCAGGCCCTTGTCGATCGGAGGAACTTTCAAAGGACTTTTTTGTCTTTTTTTTCTGATCGTACTCACCCCGAACAAGGCAATACAGCCACTAAAATACAAGGGGGGTGTTACAGGGTTTGGAAGAAATTGGTACAGAAACATTAATGATGAGCAGTAAGAGAAGAGAGTAATCAGGAGGACAGCCAATAGTGATTGACATTGCATTTACATTTTTGCAGATTAAAGATGGCTGGAAAGCTTGGAGCTGGAAGGTCGTTCCACAATTGAGAAGTGCGAGAAATTAAACTATTAGCATAGAATTTACAATTACATCTAGCCATGAGATCTGGACACAGTTCTAGTGTTTCGTTTAAATTCGAAAACTATAGCAAAGAGCTCATTGTAACAATGCCCATGAAAGTAATTATAGAACAGTGAGGCAACCTTATGGCAGTGGGAAAGTGACTGGTGCTGAACTGCCAGATCAGGGCCAATAATATTGCTGATTGATCTTTGGATCTTATCAAAGAGCTCAAGGAGCACTGGACCACATGTGGCAGCAATATTCTAAGCATGGACAGAACACTTTAATTAATAACAGAAAGATGTGCAGAAGGCAGAATAAATCCTTTCCCCAAAAAAGAAGATCTAGGATTGGCAAAAAACTATAGAGGCGTCACACTCACCTCTGTTGCAGCAAAAATTTACAGCTTAATGCTTAATTTATAACTAACTAGCAGTAGAGCCCGGCGTTGCCCGGGGATGTAACAGTAAGAGATAGATCAAGTATTGACCATCATAAAGACTAAAAAATAAAATTGACAAAGATTATTGTTTAAGGTTGATAGACACACATGTTTTTTTTGTTTTTTTTTTACGAATTGGTCAAACCCAAACTCAATCAAGAACATTGTTTTCAATCGTTATGAGTCTACGGATTGAATAGAATTTTATTATAAACAATTGTCTTGTAAATGGAATTTTAAAGTATTCTGAATGTAAAATAAAAGAAAAAGTGTTGAAACACTACCTGTCAAAAAAAAAGTAAGTTTTGTTGAAATTTGTTGAAAATGTAGGAAATCCGATCCCATATATAAATGAACACACACACAAACAACCTGGGTTTTATAATAACTCGAGATGAGTTGTCCCCTTTCATTCTTCTTAATCGTGTTTTTCAAATTGATTTCGTGCAAAAAAACAATTGTTTTTTCCAATTTTTGGTACTGTTAGAACCACACAAGGTAATTTTACAAAGTTTTAAATCGGTTGAAAAATATAAATCCAATATATAAATGTACAGACACACACACACACACAAACACAATCTGCATTTTATAATAAGTAAGATTTATTGTGAGCAAGCACCTCCATCCACCTGAACTTAACCTGACTTTTGTAAGTAACATATATTTGATACATAAGTTCTCTAGGAAATTAAAACCCAACCACCCCTAATCAAAATAGATTGAACTTTCCTTAACCTTAACAACTCAAAATATTAAGATTGTCTGCACTGATAAACTACACAAAGTAAATTTCTTTGAAAGTTATTCCAAACATCGCTTGACAATGGAACAAATCTCTGGGTTTTAAGTTTAATTTTTATAATTAAATTTACAACTTTAGTTTAAGTTTTGAAACATAGAAATTTCTGTGTTGCGAAGGAATCATATTTTTAAGAAGGAAAAAAATTATATTATGCTCTACTGTTTGTATCAAGCACTGTTTTTTTTAAAAAATAAAAATAATTGTTAAGAACACCAGATTGTAAATTTTTCTGTACTTTCTTGTTATTTTAATATATATATATATATATATATATATATATATATATATATATATACACAAAGTATATAATTGGTGTATACAGAATGAATTCAATAACCAACAGTTACTATTCTTAAAAAGAGTGCTCAATACAGAGTAGAGCAGATATAATTATTTATTTAAAATTATAACATAAATATGTTATAAAATCACTACAAAAATAGCCATTTTGTTTCAACACCTCCGATGTCTTATCAAGTGATGATGTTAAATGTGAAATAAATGGTTTATTAAATAAACAATTATATATATATATATATATATATATATATATATATATATATATACACACACATATGCACACTATTTACTTTGTTTGGCCTATTGTCCTCATCTTTATTGTGATATCCACAATGTTTCGGCTGTTGTACTCTCCAGCCTTCTTCAGATGATATACATTGAAATTTTCAACCGAATCCTTTATTTCATCAACCGGGTCGATTTTTCTAGTTCTACGTGCCAAGCATTTCCAGGTATTTCCCTAAGGACACATGGACTAGTGGATAAAAGCGTTCATTGAAGTAATCCACTGACTTGACCCAAAGAGTTGTGAGTTCAATACCTGGCCACAGCACAGTTGAACAAAAACTTGGAGTTAGTGGATAACTGAAACTGAGACATCCAGAAAAGGCATGGCATGTGGAACTAGAACAGTCTGTCCCCATGCACAAAATAAAGGGTTCGGTTCAAAATTTCATTGTATATCACCTGAAGAAGGCCAACGTGTACAATGGCCGAAACATTGTTAACATGACCATAAAGATGAGTTCAACAGTTCGAGCAATGTAAATAATGTTTATCAGTCTTTATGCAAAACTCAATATGCTGGTTCCTTTATTTTTTGATCATTTTCTGCTGATGGGAACACCTAAAACTTCCCCTACTGCTTGTCAAGAAAGTTAAAGTTGGAACATGATGCAGTGTATGTACATGTCCTTTATTAATCGTAATTCTGATTTATTTTTCAGGGCAGTACTATGTTTGGGCATCCAGGTTTTGGTGGTCAAATTGGTATCTGTGACCGGCAGAATAACCTGGGTATCGCGTACGTTACAAATAATCTGGCTGTTCTTTCCCTGCTTGGTCGATCATACAGCATTCTGAATGAGGCGGTTTTTAAATGCTTGGAACACATACAAGATGGCTGATACTCAAGTGGCTGTTTCTCATGATACATTTAATAAACCCCTTTCATGTATCTTTTAAGCCTATGGCATTCGTTATGCAAGATAAAGACATTTTCTTTTTTACTTTTAACAGTGTTAAAACTCGGTACCTCCACAAATTCGCTAAAAAAAAAATGAGAATACCATGATGAAAAAAATGTCCCAAATTAAATAAAAACATATGCTGGTTCCTTTATTTTTTGATCATTTTCTGCTGATGAAACCTAAAAACTTCCCCTACTGCTTGTCAATGAATGATTTGACTTCAGGTCAAGAAAGTTAAAGTTGTTATAAAGAAGAAAGACTAAAGGTTTTTTTTTTCTATTATTAAATTATATTTTTTGAGCTTTTTAGAACATTTGAAATTTTGGTTAAAAATATTGTGTTTTCTTGCGGGGGAGGACCAAAGATTATTATAAGAAATTTTGGTGTCTTTTTTGGCCATAAAAAAAAAAAACACATATCGTCGTGAAAAAGTTCAGGTTATTAATAAGAGGAAAGACTAAAATGGTTTTTAACTGTTTTTTTTATTATTTTTTTAAAAAAACAAATTTGAAACCTTTCTAACACGTTTGAAATTTTTGTTAAATTCCTGTTTTTTATGTCAGCAACATAAGTAATTTTTACAACGATGGGTTTTGTGTTTTATTTTATGTTTTTTTTTTTTTTTTTGTTGAAAAACATTGATTTGGAAATTCTAGCAAAAATCAAATAATTGTCGGCTTTTAATGAACCTTTCAGAACTTACTCAAAAATGAATGAAATTATTTTAGAAATGTTTGTTTTTTAGAAAGTCATGGTAAAAATATTTTTTTCTAACATTTTTTACCCCCCCAAACTTATTTTATGAAAACTCGAATATGTGTATTTTTGTAATTTTTTAATTAAATGCAGAGGCCTTTGAAGAATATAAATCATCGATTTATTTTGTAAATTCATTAACTGTCCTACCCAAACATTAGCTTTGAATTGTAAAATACAAACCCCAATAAAAGTAAGACATTATTTAATTAAAACAGCTTTTAATGGCTTTTATGAATAATATATATTCAGGACATTATTGTCTGAAGCCAAAATATTTTTTTTGATGAAAATTTAATTTTTATAAGATTTGTTTTTCTTGTTTTTATTTTTTTCAATTTAAATACAAAAATTTTTTATTTATTTTTATCATCCTGAATTATATCGCCATAATTTTGTGTGTGTGTGTGTGTGTGTAATTCTGACCTTGTTCATAAAATTGCAGTTTTTACCCCCCTCTCCCCCCGAACTTTTAGCATCTTTTTTGGTGTTAAAAACACATTAATTTGGAAATTCTTGCAAAAATCAAATAATTGTCGGATGATTTTAATGAAATTTTCACGACGTATTCAGAAATGAATGAAATTATTTTTGAAATATTTTTTTTGTTTTTAGAAAATCATGGGGAAAAAATATATTTTTTTTTTTTTTTTTTCCTGCATCTGTTATCCGCCATAATTTTTATGACATTTCAAGAAATTAAATTTTGACCTACTTAATATCTTAAAAATACCTTAAAAAGTAGAACTTAGAAAATTTAAATTAAATCAATAATTCACTGAAAAAAACAACAACACCATAACATGATGAAACAAGGCAACAAATGTAATAAAAACAAGTTTCTATCGAGAAAAAGATTGTTATTTGATAAGAGGAAAGTGAACTTTATGCACTTCGGCTTCAAATTTACTTTAGTTATCGCTCTTATTTTCTGATGCTGTCATTTATGGATGTCCATATTTACAAAAATTGGCACATTTAGAAAAAAAAATATTTCTAACCCTTTCCCTGACCTGTGCGTTATAAGTGATGCACAGGACATGATTTCCATGTCCGCGAATCATATGTGGTGCCCACAAGCCATGATTTTAAAAGAGTCGTAAAACTAAAGACGCTTAAGAAAATATTTAAAACCATAATGAAAATAAGCATTGAGAAATCAGAAAAACAAAAGAAAATCTAAAATTAAAAAAAACACCTAACAAAAATTACTTTTCCTCAAGGAACATCAAAATACTTCAAAGTAAAAAAATCAACCAAGTAAAATGGATGAAATTATGACGTGTAGGTTTGAAACTGTTATTGAAAATTGTTCCAAAAATGAACCACACACACACACACACACAAACACACAAACAACATCAAAAAAAACGAAACACATATATACCCATACATACAGTACAAATAGTTGCAAACATATACACTTACGTGACGTACACATGTATCATCCACACATTCATGAGGCATGTATGTATAATGCGCATATGTTTAACTGTCTTTAGATTTCTGCTACCTCGCATGTCAGTCCTCCCTGGCCTCTTTCACTTTATCGTTCCTTTCGCTTCTGTTATCTTTTAATGTAGCCAAGGGTCATAACAAATATGTATCCATTATTTGACATTAAACGTAGGGCAACGAACTTGGTAAAATAAGTCTCATGAAAGATAACTGGCAGATAGTCTAATTCAAAGCCTCGTCTCTCATGTTAAAAATAGTCATTGGTAATCAGGCTCATGGGCGGTCAAAATGTCATATGGATGGATCCATTACGGACTGTGGGTTGCCGACCATTGACTTAAAGTATGTAATATTTGTTTTAAATTTGCTAATGTTCCTCAAATAAAATTTTGGAAAAAAGTGCCATTTTGTTTTTGAAAGATTTTTTTAATAAAGAGAATTACAGTGTGATGACAGCCAAAAATGGTGCTAAAATCAGAAATTTTTTAACGATTTTGTATAAAGAAGACTCCTTTCAGTCGGTTGAAATTAGTTTTTGAAATACAGCAAAGTATTCTGCCCATTGAAGATATTAAATTTAATCTATTAGCTTGAAATTGAAACTAAGATAAAAGTTTCAAGAAAGTTTTTACTTTTTTAAAATTCATTTTAAACCTTAAGCATTGCGTTTCTGTGGAGGCACCCAGTTAAAACACTGCATAAATATATATCTGTAAATCTACGATACATGATGTATACCTATATAATACATTGTTTAAAATTTGCTTCATTAATGAGATATTGGGGATGGAGCCTTGGGCATATAGAGATCAATACTGTAATGTGACTGTCATTGCCTGAGATGATCATCAGACCATGTGTTACTCCTCTTTGTGTAGGCTCTTTCTATTGACTAATGTGAAGGAATAGAGAGAACTTGATTTATACTCAGGTTTTCGTTTCGTATTATAAACCTAATGTCTTCAGCAACCATTTTTCACCAGTGCTCATATTGCAATTTTTTTGCTGTTACCATCATTTTTTTACCAGAGCTCATATTGCAAATTTTGTCGTTATTATCGCTTTTCTCTGGCATTCCTTAGTACTAGTTCCCATATTGTATTCTTTTCTATGTTTGGTCGGCTCAAAAAATTGCAATGGTAAAAATGGTTTATAATACTCAGAAATTCATACACAGATGTCCTCAAGGACACATGGCACAGTGGATAAAGGCGTTGGTTAGATCCAGTGACAGTACCCAAAGAGTGTGAGTTCAATACCCAGTTAAAGCAGTGGAGAACTTTCAGAGGGAAATTATCAGGAGATAACTGATAACTGACATCCATCAAACATGGCACGTGGAACTAGAACAGTCTACCCCAGTAAGTGAAATAAAGGGTTCAGTTCGACATTCCAACCGCCTGAAGAAGGCCGAGACGTTGTAATAAATATGGCGACAAAGATGAGGACAATAGTCTGAGTAATGTAAATAATGTACCTTGTAACTCTTTGTGTCTTAGTGGCTTTACTGCTTTGAATGGGTTGATACTGATTTGAAAAGAAATGTTTATTCAAGATCAATTAATCCTGAAAGATAAAATGATGATAATAAATTTGCTGCTTTTCTTTTAACTTCATGTATCAGAACTCTGAATAATCTCAAATGATTAGGGCCTAAACAGAACTTTGGGAAAAACTGGTTTCTCCTTTTTCTTTCTTACCCGGAATCATCCAGCGACCTGTATAGAGAGCCTACATAAAGAGGAGTAACATATGAGCTGAGAAAGGACGCAGGTTTTATCCGAAAATACTAATTTTAAACATTTTTCATCATGCTTCTATTTTTTCTACTGCTTTAAAGATAAATAAAGTTAATGTTCTCATTTTCTTTGTTTTTTCATTTTCATTGATTTAATATATTTATGCATGTTTGGTTAAAAAGCAATTGAAGTTCTCTGTTGATTTTTTTATTTATTTAATTTTCCGATATAATTGATACTGTTTTATTTAATTTTTCAACATAATTGATATTTTTTATTTATTTTTTCAATATAATTGATATTTATTTATTTATTTTTTTTAGTATAATTGATATTTTTTTAATTAATTTTTCAGTATAATTGATATATTTTTAATTATTTTATCAATATAATTGATATTTTTTTTATTTAATTTTTCAATATAATTGATATTGTTTTATTTAATTTTTTAAGTGACATTGTTTTTATTTAATTTTTAGTATAATTGATAGTTTTTTATTAATTTTTTCAATAATTGAATTTTATACGTTTTTATTTGATAATTTTTTTTCTGCATAATTGATAGTTTTTAATTAATTTTTCAATATAATTGATACGTTTTTTTATTTAATTTTTCTGCATAATTGATAGTTTTTTAATTAATTTTTCAATATAATTGATACGTTTTTTTATTTAATTTTTCTGCATAATTGATAGTTTTTTAATTAATTTTTCAATATAATTGATACGTTTTTTTATTTAATTTTTCAATTATAATTCTGTTTATCCCTTAATTAGCGCGGACGTCATACCCTGCCAATACCTTTTATTTATTGACCTTATGATGTCAAGGACCTTTTCAAATTCTATTTAAACTGTTGTTTGATTGATTTATTTGTTTTCATGGATTATCAACCCTTTCCAGCGGAGAAGAGGCATATTCAACAAAAAATCGAAAATTGCATTTTTTTTTTTTTTTTGCCAACTAGAAAACTTAGAAAACTG